TTGAGTGGGATACCACTTCCAGCTCTAGCGTCTGACTATTCAACGCATCACATTGATGACATTTAGGCCGTTTGGATTGACTTAAAAAAAATGGCTTTAAGTTAAGTCTTAAAATCACTTTATAAGTGCTGGAACTTATTTTATAAATAAGCAGTTACAGATAAAAGTGCTAAAACTTAAAATAAGTTGATGAAGTGTTTGGTAAACAAGTGCTGGTAAACTCTTTTTCTTGTTAAAATGACTAAAATATCCTTAAAGTTGTTAACATTATAAAGAAGATGATGACTATAATATTATATTTTCTGTTCATAACTTCAAATTCAGGGGTAACACGTAAATTCATTGAATGATTTGATTTTAGAATATAGTTACACCAATTTAAAAAAAAGGAAGGATTCAACAACCAAAAAAATTAAATGTTATGGAACCAAAAAAAGAAGCCAAAAGAACAATATTTATAAAATATCGGAATGTATCAAACATTATTTAAAAAACTATTCTTTGATTCACGTTAAGAACTTCAAGAAATTGACAAATATTGGAGAATGGAAGAAAAAAAATAGTATATTGTAGGGTTTTAACTTAGGGGTAATTTTGGAATTAAGAAAAATTATAAGGGATAAGAATGTAATATCGTTGGTCAAAGCAATATGGCTTTTAAGCCAATTTAGAAAAAGTTGGGTTTTCCAACTGATTTGTTTTGGCTTTTTTAAAGCAAATTTTAACTTTTTTTAAGCCCATTTTTTGGTTGTCAAACACTTTCACAAATTAAAAATTGCTTAAAAGCTGATTTAAGCCCATCCAAACAGGCTCATTGAAAAACCACTCAACTCTTTCAAACATTTCTACGCTTCAACCTAAACTATTACTCCACTGGACACTGGCTTTCGCAATTGGCTCGAGTCCAGCCACCCTTACGTGCATAAACACTACTATTAGCACCACTTGTACCCACTTCCAAATTTCTTCATCTTTTTTCCTTCAAAAATACCCTTACATTTTTTGCCATTGATTTTGGCGGCTTGTTTTTAAAACAATGTTTGTTCGTGAAATATGATTATTTTTTGAAAATAAAAATTGAAAAAAATTTCAAAGTTTCCAAAAACTAGCTAGTTTTTGAATGAAATTTTTTCTTCCACTCACAAAACTTCAATATTTTTTCAAATAAAATGCATGTTCAAACACAACTTCAAACTTCCAAAAATTATTTTTCAATATAAATTCAAAAACTCATATTTCTAATTTTAACCAAATCTATATCCAAAAGCTAGCTTAAATCCATCACAACCCTCTGCGCCTGCTACTCACAAAATATAATAGATTACCACCACAAGTCAACAAGATATACAGGAGAGATGCAGTCACCCAGGACAATTCATGTCCACTTTTCTCATTTGTTTGTCAGCAACTAATAGTAAAATGAACTCGGCATGACAAGTGGGATCCATAGTGACATGTCCAAGTAGTTAAAAAAAATTAATGTGGGGTTTGGTTGGGGTGGGGGGGGGGGGTTCCTTTGTTGGATCCAAGTGCAAATAATATCTTCTGAACAAACAGAAAGCGTCAATTTTATTTCGTAATACATCTTCAAAATACTCTTTAAATCTCCTTGAGAAGGAGGTGAAATGAAAGAAATGAAATCTTAAAACACATTTGTATTTTATATACAAGATGTGACAGTTGCAGAGTCATCCTTTTCTATTTTCTCTTGTAAGCAATATTGCTTCATTCACAAGTTGCAACCAGACGGGGATCAGATTGCCTGAGGAATGGAAATGAGATTCGTGAAGATGAACTGCATACAAGTAATTTCTCAAACAAGGAGAACAAACTGAGAAACACGCCGAGGAAAGTAACTGAGGGCACAGTTATGAATGACTGAAATTGATATTTTTTCTCACAAACAAGACTTAAGGGAGCTGTTGTTTATTGTAAGAGTAAGTTGGGATCCTTCTGATGTCGAGTAAGCCCCCCACTTGTCGGCCTACAGGTTAGAGACAATATAATTTTTAGCACAACAGAGAATCAAACGTGTTTTATAGGCACCAAGCATCCAGCACTATAATTCTAAACACAGCCTCAACAATTTTATGCTGGATTGCCTACTATTCTTTTGTATTCATGAAATTTCTCTGCACAAAGCTATCAATTGTCACATCAAGAAACTCGGGTTAATTTCACTGATGGTCATTGAACTATCTTTCAATTTCACTAAAGTCATTTAACTATTTTTTGTCACTTAAAAGAAACTAAACTTTATCATTGTCACTTAAAAGTCATTTTGCCTCAAACCCTTACCATAAAAATGACATGGCATTAAATTTTATGATAAAAATCCAAAAATAAATGCCACATAAGCTATTATGGGTCATACCCATTTTAGATCCATTTATCCTTTAAGGTGATTTGACCCATAATCCAAATGGGTTTCGATAAAAAAAAATATTAAGTTCCACGTTAGTTTAAAATGATTATCTTATACTACAAAGTTTTGCCTTTTCTGTTACATAATGCACATTTATAATTATTCTATACTAAAATAATCTATGCTAGAAAATTCTTATTTTGTTTGTATGCCCCATTCAAGTCATTTTATAGCTCTACTGAAGCTAAAATACTATTGTATACAATAGTATTTTAAAATGACTCGGATGGGGCATACCAACAAAATAAGAATTTTCTAGCATAGATTATTTTAGTATAGAATAATTATGAATGACTCGGATGGGGCATACAAACAAAATAAGAATTTTCTAGCACATTAGTTTGGATACAATAGTATTTTAGCTTCAGCAGAGTTATAAAATGACTCGGATGGGGCATACAAACAAAATAAGAATTTTCTAGGATAGATTATTTTAGTATAGAATAATTATGAATGTGCATTATGTAACAGAAAAGGCAAAACTTTGTAGTATAGGATAATCATTTTAAACTAATGTGGAACTTAATATTTTTTTTTTTATCGAAACCCATTTGGATTATGGGTCAAATCACATGGATAAATTGATCTAAAATGAGTATGACCCATAGTAGCTTATGTGGCATTTATTTTTGGATTTTTATCATAAAATTTAATGTCATGTCATATTTATGGTAAGGGTTTGAGGCAAAATGACTTTTAAGTGGCAATGATAAAGTTTAGTTACTTTTAAGTGACAAAAAATAATTAAGTGACTTTAGTGAAATTGAAAGATAGTTCAATGACCATCAGTGAAATTAACCCCAAGAAACTCTTATACCAAAGTTTATACAGTTGATTTCATGTTTTAGAAATTTTAAGCATCTGTGATGCTTGACAAAAATGTTCAGCAATAAAATCCGGAGCCATTACGAATCTTCATATCATAGTTTCTTTATGACTTTTTGAAGTCCAAAAGCACAAAGCGACAATAACGAAGGAAAAGCTTCCTTCCCCAGTTCTGGCCATAGTATTTGAATAGCTAATGTCTCATCACCCTTACTTGACAAATGGACAAGTTCACAAATCAAGGCACAGAATAATCGAGCATTTGGAAAGAAAATTATACAAGAACAAGTACATAGAAAGAGAATGATATACTTACAGTCCAGTTAACAGTTTAATTGTGTCATAGAGAAACCATTGCAGAGTCACAACAGGCCCTACAATTGCAATTCGAACAGGAAGACTTCTAGTAAACAAATTAACAAGCCCAATCTTCTTTATGGCCTGAAAGGATCATATTAAAAAAATTCCAACTAATTAGATTTTTTCAAATATACTTGAATACCATGAGAGTGTTTGATAGAAATTTTACCTGTCTTATTGTGTCAGCCTTTTTGTTGTAAAGAAATGAGACAATATTGTCAGCAGGATTAGATATTACAGTGCCAACAGATCCAGCAACATAGCCTGATAAGCATGTTACGCCAAGTTGCTGGGCTCTTGAGCAATCTTCCTTCCTTCTCTGTATGACCTTCCGGTACATCAGATCTACCGAGTGCTCAAATGTCGAAAACATGATCATGGAAACTGCAAACAGGAAAAGAAGCATAAAGTCAAGTCATAATTACAAACTCCAAAAGCAGAAAGCCAAATATTGGTAACTACAGCTGGTAATGTGATAATTGTATTATAAAGGGAATCTATATGCAGCAAGATTTCAAAGGCAAATATGATTTAATAAGCACTTTCTAGAAATTGTAAAATAGCCACTAAATTCAGTACCAAGTGCAGACTTGTAAGTAGCCGACAATAAAAAAAGCCAGACAGTAAATGAAGAACTGAAGCAACAAAAAAGATCCTATGCAGCAGCCACAAAATGCAAAATGCCACTTTTCAATAGTAAAAACAGATAAATTGAAGAGCAAGACAAATCTACAGGATACACAAAACCCACACCGATTACTCCATTCCATCCCCACCCAAGGGACACTGATATGAGTAAACTTTACCAGGGAAGTCCCAAAACAACCGAATGACAATATGAAGGAAACTATAGGGGAGATGGGAGGGCTAATAGAAAAAGCTAAATTAAGTAAAGATTTTACATGGAAGGTTACGCCCCCAAAGTGGAAAGAGTCCCTTGAAAAAGCTACAGTGAAGCAAAAACAAACTTCAGTATCAATGTGCAAGGTGGGCAGCAATAGAATAAACACTGCATACTTCTTGGACTTTACCCTGAAAGGCCTTCATTCGCGTACAGCTTGCGAAACCCATCAGTTAATCCCCTGGCAAAATGAGGCTGAGTCTGGACCTGAATTTTGACAGCTTCAAAGGGACAAAGTGCCACATCAGCAAATACTTGAGCTGATGCACTGCTGAGGAAGAATATAACACTCCTTTGTTGATCAACCAACAAGTCAGTATAGAACCTTTTAAAGTATTCATAAAGACCAAATTTACATCCTCCTTGAACTCCATATCCAAATAGTTTGCCCGACCAACCTCTCCAAAGAGCAGAACGGCCTTGCTCTCTCCATAGAGTAATAAATCCTGATGAAATGCCTCGATATTTGAGAGGGTTCACCTAAAGCAAATAAAGGTGTTATGAGAACATACCAGAACAGGGAAGTTACTTCTTTTCTTTCTCCCTTTAATTTTAGTTTGTCGGTCATGAGGGGTGCCGTAAGGAGTTTTTCAGATTTTGAAAAGAGGAAGGTGTGTCTTCTAGTGCAAAAATTAGTAAAGAACTCACGAGGTTCTTCAGCTGGAAATCAAGACAAGGATCGTATGAACAGAACAAGCACAAGCACATATCCAGCACCAGGAGATTCTAGTTATCAAAACAGATATTAAAAACAAAGTAAACATCTAAACATTAGACAGAAGAACAAAAACATGACATCAGAAAGAATATTAGAGTTGGAGTTTGTTTCTTAACATGTAGGAGGCCTTTATTAATGAAAGTTTGCAAAATAGGTAAGCAGACACTCCTTCAGAAGAAGTTTTCTTTAATTCTCACTTCAAAAGTTTTATTCCTTTCTCTTTACCAGGTTATGTAATAAGTTGTAAAGAAATTTCTTTTATATTCTTTCTTTTTTGGGCCTATTAACTTTCAGAAGATGAGCCTATTGAGAAAAATCCACAGAAAAGCGGTGTTGTAGTTTTGGAAATTAGATTGCAACTTTTCAACCTCTATGGAGTCTGGACAAGGAAAGCTTCTCAATGTACAATTATTAGGCACCAGAATGGCGCATGCACCTAAATTTTCTGCCAACTGTCATAGCACTTTGTAGTGACTTCAATAAAATGAGGAAGTCACTAACAGCCATTTATTTTAAGTGAGGTTCAAACTACTTTCAGGGCTCAGTTGTTTTCACAAGACATCCTGACTGAAAACAAATATTATGCACTTAAGCCTTAAGCTAGATGGTCAAAGGCTCAAGGAATAATTAAGCTCTACATAGGCAAAAGGAGACAGGGAAAAAAGGAAATTTTAAGGGCTTTTATGTGGCTGGTAAATGAGGGGAGGAATATAAGGTTTTTGTAATTGCCTCAAGTTTAAAGTCATGGGAGATACAATGGCTGGGCCTCTGACACAAATGGAAATACATGAAATGGGTAAATGAGTGAGCTAAAATACGCCTATCCATATCTATATATCTATATCTACATATCTATATAAAGCTCGGAATGTGAAAGGTGATGTGACACCTCCTATGCCCAGCAATTATATTTATCTATTTTCTCCTATTTTTGACAGTTTTTCAGTTTTATTCTTTTTTCCTATTTTTTTACATTTATGTGCTTTGAAAAAAAAAACTAAACAGTAGCTCCTTTTATTTTTTTCTCAACTAACAGTCGCTTATTTACTTCTCTTAATAAATTGTAACCGAAACATTCTCTCGCTTATCACGGTTGTCGTATTTACTGGGAAAAAACGCCTCCATCTCTTCTCCTTTTTTTTCTTCTGTCTTTGATTCTCACTTCCCTCAAGTTTTCCTCCTTCTAAAGTGATTATCCAATTGCTAATATTTTTCCCTTTACCTATTGATGACTATTGCTGAAATGTTGAGTTAATCAACCCATATTATTATTTTTCAATGTAGTAATTCAAGCACTCTGTTTCCAAACTACTATTATCATTAGGAACTGCAGGTAAAATATGCTTGCCTGTGATTATGTAGTTTAATTTTTTATTGTGGCTCCTGTATAACTTTTAATTTTGTCTTTCCTTTTCTCTTAGTAAGGAGATCCAAAAGGCATTCCTTTGACTCAACCTGTCTCCCATTAAAGTTCTTTTGATCAAACCATGAAATTTTGGCAAATTAGGAGACAGACATAAGGTATTACTTTCCTTATTGATTGCCCATTATCTCGATTAGTTCTTAATGTGTTCCTTTATTATTCAACACTGTTGCTGGACTTTTGAGGTTTTTGTTCTCCTTCCCGTGTTTCTACAATTTTGTTTTTCACGTTGACACTACTGCCATTATTTTGATAGGGATTTTAGATGTTTCAATTTTTCATCAGTTTCCAACTTGATCAAAGGGCCGTCAGAGTCTACTACGGTTTAAGTGATAACATATTTTTGATTTCCTTATCTGTTGGTATATGTATATGTTGCTGCCTGCATTTCTTTGTCAGTATTAGAATATTTAAGCCTGCCAATCGGTCAAATTTGTGAATGGATTTTTGCTGAGATCTCTATACAAAGTTTCTTGCTCTTCAGTTATCCTAGTTATGATTTTATGTTTTGATTTGGACAATATCTGGCTTCCATCTTTGGCTATGATTCTGCATTTTTTGGATTTCCCCTGGCATCACTCCAGTATTTTCTTTTTCTCTTTGGTTTCTTATTCTTTGTATTTATAGGAACAACAAAGGAGCTAATCAAGGAAAAGAAAATGTGTTTTTTATTTTGTGATTTTGCAGAAGAACGAGAATTATGCATAAGTGATTGGAGGAGGAAGACTGGGGATTTGACTGGTGAGGAGAGGAGAGTAAGGTAAACGGGAGGGAAGAGCTTTCTCGCCTTTTTGTTTTTAACGAAATTTTGCTAAAGAGAAAAGACATGCTGAATAGGGGGAGAGAAATAGAAACAGGTAAGAAGAAGAGAATTAAGGAAAAGTACAACTGATCACTCTGTTTGCCCAAAAAATACCGGATAAACTAGAAATTACTACTATATTTCAGTTTTCTTCAAAATTTCTGTGTTTGCCCTTGCTGGTTGTGGTTTCTATTCTATGAACATGCTTTTTCCCACAGTTTCAATGTGATTTTTCATATTAATTTTGAATCTAATGTTATGTTCTTTGATTGTGCGGTGGTGAAATTATAGGTAAAGAAGAGTAATCATTCTGGTTACTCCATAGAACAGGAAAATATCTGCCTAAGGAAAAAGGTGAAGAAGTTTAAGAGACATCAGAGTGATAGGAAAATATCTGCCTAAGGTATTGTTCTGTCTTTTTAGCAATCATATTCTTACTTAAACTCCGTTTGAATCTTTTTGTTCCGTGATCTTAAAATCTCATGAAATAAAGGTATTATTCTGTAATTATGAACAATTCAATTTTACTTAAAGTTTGATATGGATCTTTTTGTTCAGTAATAATAAAATTTGCATTTCATATGTGTAAAATTAGGATAAAAATTGGTTTACCTTATTTGTTATATATAACTATTTGCTACATTCTTTTGTGTATGGAAAGGGAAAAAAGTAAACTAGAGAACAGGTCTTGCAACACAATTGGCTTCTCCGTCAATAAGCTTTCTGATACTTTACCTGCTTAAATCTCTTTTATTAAAGGTACCTACTTACTCTTTTACATATTTTGTTTGATGAAATTTTTTTAATAGAGTGAAGTAGATAATGCAAATACAAAAGTGAGATGGGAAAGCTTATAGGTATATTTAGTTGTTGATTATCATTTTTCTATGTTTGGAAAGAATAAAGATGGAATTAACACGCCTATAATCTTGGAAA